CCCTGTGATGTTTGTCCTGTCCTGACAAAATGAAGTAAATTTCCTGATGTGAGTTAAATTATGTGTGATAGTATGCATGGCATGAATAATTATAGGCTGGGTTTGCAAAGGGGCATATAGGTGTGTGTGTATATATTTACATACATGCACATACAAAGGCTAGGACATTCTTAAAGGATGGGGCAAGTGGTTTGAAACCCTAAATATCTAGTCAGCAGTGGTGCTTATGTTACAGGGAAACCTATAGAGAGGAATGCAATGCAGACTAATTCCAGTTGCCTTTGGTTGGGTGACTTTGAAAGAAACAAACCAATGAAAAAAGAGCAGAGAACCCTGTCTGCTTATAGACTAGCAGATGGTTGGGAACATGGGCTTTGAATTCATATGGGTCTGGCTGTTGGTCTCAACCCTGCCTTGGGTGAGTTCCTCCTGTTCTTAGGTTTGCTTTCCTCGGTCACAGAATGGGCCCACTAATGCATGGGCATCACAGGGCACTTGGGCATGCAGGATGCTTGGCACAGAGCACCCCAAGGTGCTCTCAAATAGCCCTCATTAGCATGTTCATCATCAGAGTCCAATCTGCATGGATACCCCCAGAAAGAGGTCTAAGCAGTCCAGAGGTGGTGCTTTTTCAGACCCCTTGGTGGGGCTGAGTCCACCACCAAGGAGCAGATGGGCTGTCCAATTTGCTTCTGGCCTTCTGCCTTTCACATTCCAGTTGGAAATCCACCTGCTTTGGTAAAGGGTCATTTTGCATACATACTGTAAAAGAATTCAGTGATTTGGCATTGTAAATCATGAGGATAGGTAGACAAATTTGTTAAATAAACATGAAGTGGGGCTTATTAAAGAGAGCAGTCCTTATTGGTCAGTGTGCTGAACTGTGAAGCACTGAAATTGGTAGGCTCTGGAGAGCAGCCTGTCCTCCACTTGGGAGACTCATTCCGTGTAGTAAGCGCAGCATTTTTGTTTTGTGGGCACAACACCAGGTCATCCGTCAAAGTGTGAATGACAAGATTACAGTTGTTGGAGCTGGAATTACTTTGCACCAGGCCTTAGCTGCCGCTGATGATCTTTCCAAGCAAGGTCAGTTGGGGGTTGCTGAATACTGAAGTTTGGGCTGGAAGACGTGGAGGTTGGGCTGCCTGTCTGCCCCAGTGCATCTTTTTAGTCTAAGCCTGCTTGATACACTAAGCTGGTTATTGCTGTTTTCCAGATATTTCTATCCGTGTCATTGACCTGTTTACTATTAAACCTCTGGATGCTGCCACCATCATCTCCAATGCAAAAGCCACAGGTGGCCAGATTATCACAGTGGAGGATCACTACCCAGAAGGTATGTGCAAGCCTTGGGGGCAGACCATTTTGATAGTCTGCTTTGGTGGAACATGTTTTGTTTTCCTTGACCAGAAGTATGCCATGACCATGGGCAGTCCAAGTCCCTGCAGCCAACCACTCACCCTGTATTACTTGCTCTTTGCAAGGGTGTGGGTGTAGGGTCTCTTGCACATCTACAGTAGCTAAGGGAGGTCTCATGTCCATCCTCGTTTGTTTGTACTCAGCACAGTGTGCCCTGCCTGGCCCTTGGGTGGCTCAGTGGCAGTACAGAGGAATGTCTAACTTGGCATTGTGGCAGGAGGGATCGTAAGAAGCTTCACAGTTGCTCTTGTGTATTGACTGATTCATAGTTTGCCCCTTGCAAAAAATGAAGACAGTACCTTGCAAGCAGAGAACACAGCAAATGGAGGAAGTGTGGCCAGGGAGAGGGGCTGGGCAGTGTTTGGCCAGGGAAGGTCAGGTAGAGCAAAGGAGCGAGTGGGGAGCTTCATGTGTTCATGTGTCAGGGGCTCCAGAGCAAGCCCGTGGTCTGCAGGGAAGCACTCTCCAAGGAAAGGGCACACACTGGGACCCCCAGGGGGCAGAAGACACAGGTCAGGGGTGAAGACCCCATGCCTTTGGTTCCCTCTCTCCCTCCCTCCCTCCTTTGGGGGACCCCAGCTTGCTCCCTCATCCGGCGGCAACAGATGCCCCCCTGGAGACCTAGGGAACCCACACGAGACTCACTGCCACGAGTATTATTAAGGGCTGATGGCTGCCATTCACGTGCCAAACTTCCCGAGTCCCAGAGGAAAGCAGGTGCGCCCCATAAACCACCCTGTGGTGCCAACAGCTGAGGCACAGAGACCACTCTTAGCAGTAGAGAAAGTGTCTCATTTATGTCAAGGACTCGCACCAACCTACTGCCCAGGCACCACCCCCGGGCCAGCCTTGCACGCCAGCCTTTCCGAAGTCAGCAGCCAATTCTTGGGCTCCTCAAAGGTTTGAGAATCTGATCTCCACAGATCCTTGCATCCATGGAGCCCCAGTGGAGATAACCCCAGCCATAAGTAGGGCTGGGAGCAATTTGAAGACTTGTACTTTTGAATGAGAACTCTTCTGGCCAGTTAGGGAACGGTTGTTTATAAAATCAGTGCCTAGTGTGAAACATTTCTCCCACGGAATCACACATTCAAAGGTCTCTACATGATGGGGTTTTGAGGCTGACGAGCTGCTTCCAGAACAGACCCTAATATCCCTTGCTTCTGCAGGTGGCATCGGGGAGGCCGTCTGTGCAGCCGTCTCCGTGGAGCCTGACATCGTGGTCCATCAGCTGGCAGTGTCAGGGGTCCCTCGGAGCGGGAAGCCCAGTGATCTGCTGGATATGTTTGGAATCAGTTCCAAACACATCATATTGGCTGTGGAACGTATTTTAATGCAATAGCTTAGCTGTTGGCTTTGACCAACAGACTGGCCTGTTTACCTTACCTTATGTTTATGCTTGTTGCCAGATGATCACTTAAATCTATGCTATTGTGCTTTATTCTTTTTAAAAATAATGCAAGTTAACTGCTTTCTTGTTAAGCCATAACTACATATACATGTATAACTCTTACCTTTGAATCATTAAAGTGGATTATAAGAGAAAGTTTGAAATGACAGAATAGCTAACAAAACAACCATCTAACAGCAAGTTTTCTGATGAGACTAGAGATAATGGGGTAGAGACAAACATAAGGTAACAGTTTCTTAAATGTGTGCATTTTCCTCATAAGTTAAAAAAAATGTGAATTGAATTGTAGACTGCAGTCACCCAAGTTGGGCAGCATTATACCACCATGCTGCCCACTGATGGCCCGTGCATGAGGTCAGGTGCTGCTATCCTACCTGTAGCTTTCCAGGTACTGTGTGACTGCAGTTGGTGTGGAATTTCCTCTGGTGTTTGCCTTCATCCCTCCTCTCCCGTGCAGAGGCTGTGGAGCAGCGGTGAAAGTTCTTAGGATGTCCTGTGCTGTTTGAATTGACTGTTCTGTGAAGAGAGGACACGACTAGGTCTGACCTCCACACTGTGCTCTCTGGTGAGATCTCAGGAATGTCTATTTACCCAGTGACCAAACCAAACTGTTAGCTCAATTGTACTCATCTACTGACGATACTAAAGTTGATGTTAATAAAGCAATGAAGAATCGGCTAGCTGTTTCGCTCTGTTTGTGCCTTATATGTGTGATTTGGTTTCCCCTTGATAAGATCCTAAATAAGGAAGAAGCTGTTCTTTAAACCAGGAGAGTGATCCATGTCCCCATCAAGCCCTGGAAAGGGTAGTGGGCAGGAGGTAGACCATTAGAGGACAGTATGCAGCCTGAAAAGCCAGCCCTGAGCCAACTCCTTATTTTAGATCTGAGCATTTAAACCATGTGGTTGGAATACAAGAGAATACCTGCCAGAGAAATGAGAGATAGACCAGAGCTTCAAAACTAAAGTTGACTGGATGTATCTGGTATGTCGTGGTCCTTATTTCTATCATTCTCACTAACTGGTCATCAAGGGGTTTTTGTTCTAGAATGTGTGCTAGAGATGGAAGAACCAGTCTGCCACTGAGTCGTCTTCAGGGCTTAGTCTTTCTGTTCCTGGCTTTTTAAATCACTAAACTGGTTCCCTGGCCTGTAAAATTAGCATAATTAGTATGTTTATTTCATAAGACTTCAAAAATTTTAAAAATAGTTGATATAATTGATAGAAAATAGATCAAATTTATCAAAATACAAAAATACTAAAAATACCAGGGACTTCCCTGATGGTCCAGTGGCTAAGACTGCACTCCCAATGCAGAAGGCCTCAGTTAAATCCCTGGTTGGGGAGCTAGAGCCCACATGCTGCAATGCTGCAAGTAAATCTTGGTGCAGCTAAGTAAATAGTAAGTAGTTGACATTTTTCTATAAAAATAACAATTGATTACAGGGTCATACAGAAAATTGATAAAATGCAAACAATCAAAATTTTACCTCACTTAACTGGACATCTCATATTCCATGCAGTTCACCCATTGAAAGAATACAATTTAGTGGTACTTAGCATACTCAGAGAGTTCTGTAACCATCACTGTGGTTCACTTTAGGACATTTGTATCACTCCAGAGAGAACTGCACCCCTGAGTAGTCCATCCCCATTCACTGTCCCAGCCCCTGGTAACCACTCATGTGTTTCCTGTTTCTAGGGATTTAACATATTCTGGACATTTTGTATGAAGGGCATCATACAGTATGTGACCTTTTTGTCTCCTATCTTCTTAGCATAATGTATTCCAGGTTCATCTACATTAGAGCATGTTACAGAATTTCATTCTTTTTTATGGCCATATAATAGTCCATCTTATGTATAGACTGTTTTGTCCATCAGTTTGTAGAAATCTGGATTTTTTACAAGCAAATAGACGTTTTTGTCTATTGTGGATAATGCTACGAACATTCATTTTGAAGTTTGTGGATTATAGTTTTACTTACATTGGTGTATATAAAGCTAGGAGTTGCCAGGTCATGTGATAGTTCTGTTTACTCTTTTGAGTGTGTGTGTGTGGTTAAAGCAGATTGATGAGGGGTGAATGAAACAATGACCATAATGGTACCATGACATCTATAAAGCACTCTAAGGTAAAGCCATTGTGAACACAGATAAGCCAGGATGTGTGACCATGCACCACACTAGCTTGTATTGAGATGTATAATGCCTGATTTGGGGATATCCACAACATATACTGTGCAGCAGTGCACTGTTGAAGCCTAAATGGAGTTCCAAATACAATCCATGGTAAAAACTCCATTCCAAAAGACTTTCAGGCCCCCGCAGGTGTTGGGCGAGAACAGAAGAGCTGATCTTAGGAATAGGGGCTGGGAGGAGAGATGATCATGTAGGGATGAGAGTGGCCCAGGTATACCTCCAGGGTGCAGAGTAGCCGAGGTGATAGGGTACAGGAATGCTGTCAACTGGTCTAGGCACTTAAGTGTCTGAATGTCCCTTGATTGTTCTGGAGCCACAGACTCTGGTGACCCTGCCGCATGATTCTAATCTGCAGGTCGCCTACTCATGTATGTAAAGGTGAACTGTCACCCGTTTTGGCCTGCTTCATTTGTCAAAGGGGGTGACAGTGCTGAGGATGGAGACAGCTTCTCCCATAGGGCTGTGGCCAGGATTTTAAAAATGTCATATAAATGTCCCCACTGAGGGCTACCCTAGCTTGTGGCTCATTCCTACTCCCCAGCAGTGGCCTCCGCACTCCGTACGCACGCACGCACACCACAGCCACTTTCCAGCCTCACTGGGATCGCCCAGGGCTCGGCAGGGAATGGGCCCCGCCTTCTCCCACTCTGGCCAACCCTCTCCTCGACAGCCTTGGCAGCTCGTAACCCCCACCTCCGACCCGCCTGTACCTACCCACCATTTGGCCACTGCCTGGCGAAGGCCTGCACCCCACCCGCCCCGCCGGCTCTCCACACACCTTGCGCCCGCCTGCCCGGGGCTGGCCAATCCGCGCGGCCCGGGCCACGTCATTGGGTTTTGTCCGGTCACTCACTGAGCCTTAGCCAATCAGCGTCACCTGCACCACCCCAGGGGGTGGGGCCGCCCTGAAAGGGGAGACTGACGGACTGAGGCTGCAGCCTCAGCACCCGAAGCAGAGAGAGGCCCGCGGCGGCCTGGGTCCCCATAAACAAGCCGAATAAGGGCAGTGCTCCCAACCTAGGGCTGACGGCCAGCAGAGAGCAAGAAATATGGCCCGAGAGAAGAGAAAGCTGAGGTGGTTGAGGTAGGGGTGGAAGGACGGGGCGGGGGCGTGGTGGTGGATATGCGTGAAGGCGCACGAAATGCTGGTGGCAACCGTGTGCAGCACAAGCCCTCCGGGACATAAAAGGACAGAGAAAGTGATGCCACGTGGAGAGTTGGGGTCTGGGAGTGGAGTCCTCCAGTCGGAGCATGCCCACCTACAGATATGCCTCCCAGGGACAGCTTTACCAGCCACCAGAGAGGAAGACAGGTACATTCTATCCCCCTACTGTGGCACAATACCTTGCTGGGCCATGCACAGGATGAGAAACGGGGTGCCTGACACTCAGTAATCCTGAAATGGTCCCCATGGGGTTCCCTGCTTACTGAGAAGAACAAACAGAAAACTTGCAGGCCACTCAAGCAGGAAGGGAGGAGTGTAGGGGAGAAGGGCAGAGATGAGAGATGTCCCCACCCATACTGTATCCCTGTGCTCTGGATCATGCAGTAATTGGACCCACTTAGGGGTCTAAAGGGCTTCCCTTGTGGCTCAGCTGGTAAAGAATCCACCTGCAATGTGGGAGACCTGGGTTCCATCCCTGGGCTGGGAAGATCCGGGGAGAAGGGAAAGGCTACCCACTCCAATATTCTGTCCTGGAGAATTCCATGGACTGTATAGTCCATGGGGTCGCAAAGAGTCGGACACGACTGAGTGACTTTGACTTCACTCACTTCACTATGGGTCTCGTGGCAACAGGACGTGGTGGCAGAGGGTCTGGAGGACAGTCTGTGTCCCCTTGAAAGGGATCAGCACCAGGTGAGGTAATGACACAGTCCTCAAAGGACAGAACACCAGCCTTCCAGACACAGCTGGGCAAGCTACTTCCGTCCGCAAGGGAGGCTCTGGGGGACTGGGGGCTTGTCCATTGTCAGCTTCCACTGAGGGCAACCAGATATCCCGAGTCTCAGTTTCAAGGCCCCACTCGGCCAGGCAGTGCCCTGCCTTTTACCTAGGAAATGCAGAGAGGCTGGGAATTCAAGCGACCTGGGGATTCTGCAACTGACACGGTGGAATGCTGTGTTTGATTTCCAGTCCCGTCAGCCCAACAGGCACAGGGGAATTTGCAGGCTGCCATGGAAGAGCTGTGGCTGTCATCCTGTGACTTGAGCTGAGAGGTAAGGCAGGTGTCCTTGTCAATTTCCTCCCAGGGACACTGCAGTGACTGCACAGCCCAGCTTTAGTCCCTGGCATTCCCTCCATGACAGTTCAGGGTAGCAGCTGCTCTGGCTCCTCGGGCACTTGCTGTCCTTGGCCCTTCACCCCATTCGAGTGCAGGGGGCAGCATGGTGACTGCTGAGACCCCCGCATGTCACGGATGCCTCGAGCCCAGGTGGTCACTCAGGGATGGCTCGGAGGGCTGAAGGCACACAGTGAGTACAGGAAGCAGCTGTCACCCCAGACCCAGAAAAGGAGGGAAGGGGTTGATGTCATCAGAAGCCCGGAAGCCAGGATGAGGGGCCACAAAGACCGGCCCATCTCTCCTAAAGGTCACTGCCTTGTCATCTTCTGAGTCATCTACATGTGGTTTGCTTCATCAGCTCAGATTTTTATTTCAAAGACTGGTTTTGTGTCTAACATCTAAAGTTCTTTTTTCATTTTAAAATCCGCCTGGACTTTAAAAATTTGTC